GTGTTCGACCCCCGAACATCACGATGGTGGAGACAGGACCGACTCCAGAGCAGGAGAACAACACAGCGAAGTTCGTTATCGGAGCCAGCGATGAGGACTTCGAAGAGCAGGAGACGCTGCAGCTGCCGGTGAGTCAGGAGAGTCGTGGTCTTTGGGGGGTGTTCTGAAGGTGTGGGAGGGGGTGGGGTGGGGCGGGGTGGAGCGGGGGGAAGGTATTGGTTCTGTTGGAAGGGGGTCGGAGGGTGTTGTTGCTCTCGGTTGTATTTTTTTTTTTTCTCTTTCTGTCTCTTTCTGTCTCTGTCTTTGTCTGTCTGTCTCTGTCCTCTGTCTCTGTCTCTCTCTCTCTCTCTCTCTCTCTCTCTCTCTCTCTCTCTCTCTCTCTCTCTCTCTCTCTCTCTTCTCTGTCTCTCTCTCTGTCTCTGTCTCTGTCTCTGTCTCTCTCTCTCTCTCTCTCTCTCTCTCTTCTCTCTCTCTCTCTCTCTCTCTCTCTCTCTCTCTCTCTCTCTCTCTCTCCCTCATCCTCTCCCTCTCCTCCCCCCTCGCTCCTCCCTCTCCCCTCCCTCCCTCCCTAGGGGGGCGGGGGTGTATTAAGGTGAAGGGGGTGGCATTGCTGTCATCTGTCAGCTGTTTTTTTTTTTTTTTTTTTTTTTTTTTTTTTTTTTTTTTTGGTATCGGTAGTAGGATATTCTGAATCTAGGCTTGTGGGTGGGTTGGCCATGGCTGTGGATATTCTAATAGGGGTTATTAGCCTCTCTTAAGTCAATGGTAGATTGGAAACTTGTGGGTTGGTTGTCTGTGACTGCCGGCGAATGGGAATAAAGGGGGGGGGGTTATCTTTTGTAATTGTTAATATTCTTCCTTTTTTTTCAGTCATTATTATTTCATATCATTTCATTCAATTTATTTATTCATTTATACTTTCTTTTAATCATGATGACGTGCATATGCGTGTTAGTTTGTTTGTTTGTTTGTTGTGCATTTTTTTTCTTTTCTTTGAAATTAGTCTTCGATATTTTTTTCCTTTTTTTGTTTTTTCTATTTATTCTTGTTTTCCTTGAAGACCTTTATTTTTTTTTTTTTTTTTTGATTTTTTTCTGTGGATTTTTCCTTCTATCCTATTAAAGTTTTGTTCGTATTTCTTTCCAATATTTTTTTTTCCTTTGTGTGTTTGTTTGTTTTCCTTAACCTTAGCGTCTCTCATTTTCTCGGGTTATATCTCTCTGTTTTTCGGTCTATTTCTTTGGTTCTATTTATGTCTCTGATTCTCTGTCTGTGTCTATCTCTCTGTCTCTGTCTCTGTCTCTCTCTCTCTCTCTCTCTCTCTCTCTCTCTCTCTCCTCTCTCTCTCTCTTTCTCTCTCTCTCTCTCTCTCCTTCTCTCTCTCTCTCTCTCTCTCTCTTCTCTCTCTCTCTCTCTCTCTCTCTCTCTCTCTCTCTCTCTCTCTCTCTCTCTCTCTCTCTCTCTCTCTCTCTCTCTCTCTCCCTCTCCCTCTCCTCTCTCTCCTCTCCCTCTCCCTCTCTCCCTCTCCCTCTCCCTCTCCCTCTCCCTCTCCCTCTCATTCCCTCATTCCCTCATTCCCTCTCTTTCCTCCCTCCCACCCTCTCTTCCTGTCTCTCTTTCCCTTCCGTTCTTCCACCTCTCTCCTTTCCTTTCATTTAATTCACACACTAATAACCCAAGTGCTACAAGACAGAGGATTTGTACATGCTGAGTTTACCCTTCTGTTTATGTCAGTGTGACAGACTCTCTCCCAAGGGTCCTTTGTAATATATGTAGTGGGAGGAGGAGGGCGTCCCACCCCCCACTATTATTACTTGTTGTTTGGTAGGTCGTGGCTGAGCGGTAAGGCAGTAGTAAGTAAGATACTGACATACTCTGAAGATGTTGGTCTGAAGCTGCCCTCTGTACCAGTTATCCAGAATAAAGATAAGAAAACTGCGACAAGTTTAACTTTCAGACCCAACATCTTCCAGAGTATGTCAGTATGTTACTTACTTACTACTTGCCTTACCGCTCAGCCACGACCTACCAAACAACAAGTAATAATAGTGGGGGGGTGGGACGCCTCCTCCTCCCACTACATATATTACAAAGAACCCTTGGGAGAGAGTCTGTAACACTGACATAAACAGAAGGGTAAACATTACGACTGATGGTGGAATAAAATGTAGGTAGAGTTACTACATCCTTTAAGAAGCTCTACCACGGAATATGTTATCTCCTCATTGGGTTCATCCGCGCCATCTATGAGACGAAATCTTCTTTATTTTTTTCTCTTGTTTCATCTTATTTTTTCCATTGTGATTTAGGTCGTCTTTCTCGTCTGCATAGCGTTGCGTGTAGGTTAGGTTAGTTAGGGTCTTAGAGTAGTAGATATAGATGTGCATACATATATATATATATATATATATCGTACATGCAGTCAACGCTTGGATATGGTATCTTATAACTAAATATAGACAGGTGTTTATATATACACAGGCACGCGCACGCACGCACGCACGCACACACACACACACACACACACACACACACACACACACACACACACACACACACACACACACACACACACACACACACACACACACACACACACACACACACACACACACACACACACAAAACCCCACAAACACCCACCCACACACACACACACACAAAACACCCATACACACCCACACACACACTTCCCGGTGTTTCAAAAGGCGGTGCACGCAACTTGAAATCTCACGCTGAACTTTCACTTTATAAGAAAATGTCAAGGAAGTGAAGAGTAGACGGAAGGAGGAAGGAGGAAGGAGGAAGGGGGTCTGTTGGCTTTTATGGGGGTCGATCTGTTTAAGAGGCGCTGGAGATGGGAGAAGGAGACGTGGTGTGTGTTTGTTTGTTTGTGTGTGTTTATGTGTGTGTGTGTGTTTGTTTGTCTGTGTGTGTGTGTGTTTGTTTGTTTGTTGTTTTGTTTGTGTGTTTGTGTGTGTGTGTGTGTGTGTGTGTGTATTTGTTTGTGTGTGTGTGTGCTTTGTTGAGAGTTTTTGTGTGTGTGTGTATGTGTTGTGTGTTTGTGTGTGTGTGGATGTCGCTCACACCACGCACAACCAGGACAGCCACTAACGTTGAGAGTGAACACGAGACGAGATGACGTCAGGAGATGTATACAACACACACACCTCACACTAAGGACCTCGCAGACGCACATACACCACGACGCTTCTTATGCCCCGGACTTTCATCCCGGACAACTCTTACTATTCCTCAGTTGTGGGCAGATGCACCACAGACGTGCAATACATAACAATACAGTATATAAATAGTATATGCATAACATACATATATATATTACTATAGCATATATAGATATATATAGTATATATATCATACTAATATATGTAAATAAATATATTATCATGATATTGTATAGTACTAGTAGTATAATT